TAAATATTCTGACTCTAGAATCCTAAGGAAAAAGAAAACAAGGTTGAAAAATCAGTACAGTATGATCATTATTATAAACACATCAATCATGGAATCCTGGTTCTTTATACTTCATAGAAGTAAGTACCCACAATATTCCTTCTTTCCTACAGAATGAACTGACTCAAGATTTCCAAACAGATATAAATTATGTTGTTTTGTTCCATTCTATTAGGAATGTAAACATCATGCTTACTTGCACAGAATGACAAATCATATTAAGGGTTAATCTCCACATTTCTTCCAGATATTTTAACTTGATAAATACGTATACGTTAAGGTTAATTAAAAAGACTCCTTTGGCAGAACAAACAAATGCCAGCAACATCATAACAGGCCCCATTCATAGACCATATTAAAAATAGGAGCCAGCAAGAATATAAATGAGGTATAAAAAAAAGACATAAAAGTCTCTATTCTCCTTCCCACCATACAAAAATAGTACTGAGGCAATTATAAAATTATTAAACAAGACCCTGTAACTTATTACAACTTTTTATATAATACTCACATTGGCTTTTAAGTACTGTGTGTTAAGCTGAGTCATTCATTTGCTGACCTTTCAACAGCTGATATAATTTGAATGCTAACTTTCAGTGGACAAATGTAATACCTGTTGTGTCATCACTTACTTCCAAACAAAAAAGAATTTTAAAAATCTCTCACCTGCAGGGAACATCGATTAATTAAGATGTTTACTTAGTAGGATACCCTGGCTAAGTAGAAAGCTATGCTTAAAGGTTACTTAAATTCACTTTAAACTACTGTATCGCACAACTGAGTCTGACATCATTTTGGCCCTATTAGTATGAACTGTACTTACTGAAACAATTCTACAAATGTAAGAGATAAGGCTGAATCTTCTGAATAATGGCCTCAGGATATTTCTTGGAATTAATTATCAGTTGCTTAATTCCTCCAAAGGTGAGAATGAAGGGCTAGTTAGCTGGACTCCAAAACAACTGATATTTTGTTTCACCAGAAGGAAAATAGTAGTAGTTCCAATCAACATTAAATTTTCAGGACTCTGTCTGCATTTACCCCTCATATACATAGACACAATTATTTTTAAAAATCAGATCAATCTGGACCCAAACCTCCTAAACAGTATGGGTCTTTCTACTAATGAACAGTTTAATGCTCTGGGAGAGAGGAGAGATAAAGAGTTTAGATGGGTTTTTAAGTTTGCAATTAAGTTTTGAGATTTAGTACTGTGATTGTCAACCTAAAATTCACTCAAAACAATTCTTAAAAGACCATATTAAAGACAGGGGTCAGCCTCACATATAAATGAGGTAGGTATAAAAGAAACATAAAAGGCTATAACATAAAGTACTCAAATCAATATGAAGGCAAGTTATATATAAAATATGAACCGAAATATTTAATATCCAAAATTCTGCTCTTTGACTCATGATACAAATGTAATTTAAGTCATCAGCTATTGTCTTTAATATTTCTATTATTACTAATATTAATAGTAACTATAACTTCCTTAACATACACTATGTGCCAAAGATGGGACTGAGTCCATTAGGTATTCATAATTTCATTTAAACCCTACAACACATTTTAAGTGTTGTCCATATTAAATTTTCAAAGAAATTGAAGTTCAAAATGAAATTAAAAGTAAAAGAAGAACCAGAGAATGGATTCACAAAGGTCTAATTTCAAAATCTGTAAATTTTTTACAAAACCACTTTGCTTTCTATAAAACTGAATTCAGTCAATCCTTGTTCCTATTTGCAGATTCTGTATTTGCAAATTTGCCAAATGGCTAAGATTCATTTCTAACTCCAAATCAATAATCACAGAGTTATACAGTTATTCACGGACATGTGCACAACAGTAAAATATCTGAGTTTCCAAACACACATGCATATTCCCAGCTAAGGTCAACAAGGTGGCTTTATATACCTTCTTGTTTTGGCTATGATATTGTAAATAAACAATCTTCTTTCTGTCTATTTAATGCCAGGTTTATTGTATTTTTTGTGCTTTTTGTTGGTGATTTCACTGTTTTAAATGGTCCCTAAGTACAGCGTTGAGAAGTGCAGCCTGTCATTACTAAGCACAAGAAGGCTGTGGTGAGCCTTCTGGATACAACATGTGTTAGATAAGCTTTGTTTAGGCCTCAGTTTCAGTGGTATTGGCCATGAATTCAATGTTAATGACCCAATGATATACAGCAAATGTCTCTAATCACAAACACACATAAGCAAGGTTATACATTCATTAGTTGACAAAATAATGTTTTGACCAAAGGCTCCCAGTAACCTATTCCTAGCTTTCCCTTAGGGGCAATGGTTCAGCATTTCCTAATTCAATATTCATGATATCACAGAACATTAAAAAAAAAAACTGTAATTCAATTAAAAATGTTTTTTCCCCCAAAATGTTCTTTGCCTTCTTAGGAAGAGATTTTCTTGCTGTCATGTCCTTCAAAAATACTACATCACTATGAATATGCAGTCATTACTTATCTGCTTAAGAAAAAGAAACCCTCTATTGCCATTCTGTCTAATGGGTTGCAGCTATTCATGTGTGACTTCGCTTAGAAAATTAATTTCTTCTTAAAAGCAATTTGGCTTTCCAGTGTGAAAGTCTAATGTAATTAAATTTCATTTCTTATTACTAGAAGTCATGGTTACTGTTTAAAGATGATTGCTTTGTGAAAAGATCATGACTTTTAAACTAGTTAGTTATATGTAATTTGAGCAAAACAACAAAAATTTTGCAGAGGAAATAAGAAAAGTATAAGCACAAATTGGAACTCTTACCTTTCTTGCCCAAATCAAAGATTTTATTGAAAAAAAAAATTACAGTACTTAAAAATTCAAACAAGGACAATTCAGGGTTGAGAGAAAGAAAACCTGAAGGAGTCCATGTCTTCAGTAAAATTTTGAATACAAAAAAATGTAGACCAGAAAAGCAGTTCATGGCCTAATGCACTAGTTCCATGATAAACACACATATATAGTATTATCTCCATCAAGTGAAACTTAATCACCTTTTTACAATTTAGAGAGGGAAGGCAGCTTTTAGTATGGTTATGCCATGTATCATCAATACCATGAAGCTAGCCTATCAGTTGTAATAGCTTCTATAAAATACCAGAGTGAGATTGCAATAAGCCTAGAAAATGGGCTACAAATCCCAGCTATGCTCAAGCAAGCAGTGAACCAAAAATAAAAATAGGTAAAATTGAACCAAGAACTAGATAGCATTCATCTAGATTCATGATTGGTAAGGCAAAGTTCATAGGCCAAGGTTTTAAAATGACTTATTCAGATCTAAAAGACAGTCATTATACAAAATAAAATAAAATCATTTGTGCAATTCAGAAAAAAAAACACACAGACGAATTTTCACTCCAAAGACATAGCACAAAAAAGCTTAGTTACAATTACTAAACACCAAATATTATACCTTTAGATATCACTTTAAATATGCAAAAGTAAAGAGACTCAAAGTTGTACTTTATCGTTTTTAAATCTCTCCAGTTTAGACAAGTAATCTAAAAGAAGACATCACAATTTCTGCTTAATTTATTTGTTAAAGTCTTTCTGATTGTAATAACTTTAAGTAACAGCAATGTCAACTTTAAGTTTCTTTTCCAATCATATTTAAGTAAGCCATTAAATGCTGAATTAACAATGAATCCATACAATATAAAAATACACATATTAAATCACATTGACTTTATCAGTTATTAGAATTTAATAAAAATATTAATCATTTTAATAAAACCATTTAAAGGAACTCAAATGGCCTGAACTTAGTAGAGTGTCTAAATTAACCATCAATAGCAGTGTTACATTTCCCCCCTGCTTGGTGAAAATGAGCTCATGCAAGTATTTCTGAAACTCACAGTGACACATATGGTCTGCCATTCTAAGGATGAACAAGCAGCTCTCACTTTTAGAAATGACAGTGATTCAGAGTCACACAGTATTTGTTAAAATACTAGGTTTCACATGATTTCATTAAGCTCTAAGTCAAAATAATTTTTATGTATTTCAGGTATCAGACCAAACAGATCACTTAAAAGGTAATTGCAAATGAAAGGTAATATTAAGTGATTCTAGTAGTGCAGACTAGTTATCACTGTGCTTAGTTTAAGAAGAAGGATGATTTTTGCAGTACAATGAAAACTATACTATAGAATACAATGAGTTTGCAATACAGAGCAGATTATCCAAGTAGAAAGGAAACTGAACAAAATACAAACTCTAGCAAAGGTTATCAACCTTACCTATTACTTATCTTAGCCCTTGTTATAATACCCTGAGTAAAATGCAAATATTTTAAATAATGCTGGTTATAGAAGACTTCTCTAAAATTAACCATAAGTGTCAAAGCATCATGTTACTTTATTTACAACAACCAGATATGTAAAAATTAATTCTTAACTCATAACAATATAAACATTAAGGACTACTTAGGTTAAATTGGAAGTTTTTAATTTTCTAGCTTTTGTTAGCATTTTGGCAAAGCAAGTAATACATAAATGGATTCAATGTAAGAAAAATCATAAAAGAGAAAAATATGTAAAATTTACAGTAGTTTCTATCCACCCTGGGCCAACCTAGATCTCTAGAAAGCCTCCCCAATCAGGTTCATTTCTGACTAAAAGGAAGAATACCAGTCCTCCAGCAAAAACAGCCCCATCTTTGCATCAAAGAGGCTCTCACTTCAATGATATTCCTCCAGGGAAGAGGACAGGAGCCAGGTTCCCTCGAATGTCATTCCCCAGATGTTCAAAACGTAACTAATTTATTAGCATTAGAAGATTTGGTTTATAGGGGAATCTCACTGGTCCAGTTTGTAGCCTACAAAAAAATGGATTATTTTTAAGTATAACATTAGAATATAAATAAAGGATGAGGATGTGGCTTTTTATTCCATAGAAATGGAAACATTTCCAAACATGACAATTCAATAAAAAAAGGCATGCCTACCATTGAAGTTGGATTCCCTCCAGATTTTTTAATATTCTTTGAAGGCATTCCATGAAGGCGACTTAGTCTGGCTTGGAAACCTAGAAAATCAAAGTAATCAGTTTAGAAGATACTATGATCAGTGGTACATAGAAGGAGATTCTATCAATAGAGAGGTAAAAGCTGCTGGTGGAGGTGAGCACCATGAATATTACTGGGCGTAAAAAATGCAAAACTTACACCTTAAAAGAACAAAGGCCATGGCTAGCAGGATTCTAACGCAGCTAACACTGTCTAGTGTTTTGACCTTAAGGAGTAACATTCAGAACACTTTTCTTTCAATTCACATTCCCAACAATATTCTCACAATGAGCCTAGCATAAAAGCTAGTAAATCTTTCTAATAATTTTAAAAACTGAGTAGGTTAGTACACTTTCAGCATGTATCTTTACAGCACATGTTTACATTCTCTAATATTTTACCCTAACCTCTTTCAATGAATATCATAAGACTAACCACAAGCTCATTGTATCCACCAATAAGGAAGTGCTACTGACCTCTTCTGCCTTGATGCGACATAAGAGGAAAAGAACCAGTTAAGATACTTTCAAAGACAGGATCTGGTAAATTTTTGTCTAGTTCAGAAGGATCTTCCTTTTCCCACCAAGGTACAATTCCAGTGATACCACATGCTCCGCCTGATTCCTTTTCATAGAACCAGTCACTCTGCTCATCATCACCTGTTAAAATACAAATGATTTTCCCCAAAAATTCAATTTTAGCATCCAAAAATATAATTTGAGTTGTGTGATAATAAAAATACATCAAGTAAATATGAATATAAGTATGTTGTACTTGTCCTAAATTTTTAGTATAAGAATGTGCAAGTACTGCATGGGACACAGTTGCACTAAAAAGTTGTTTTATATCTACAATTCAAATTTAACAATGGATCCTGAATTTTATCTGGCAATCATACATATCATCTAAAACCAAACCTTTTTACTCTACACCACAGCTTCACTTAAGAAACACTCTCAATACTAGGACAACCACTGCCATCAACGAATACACAAAATACTATTTCACAACCAATTCTGAAAATGAGAAAAACTATTAAACTGGCTAATCCTTTGGCAAAAAAGTAGGAAAATGTATTTAAGTAACTACTCATTCCACATTAAGAGAAAGACAACCCTTAATTGCCTACCAGGAATTAAAAGGTATAAAACTATAGAACCTGTTCTTTGAAGCTGATAATGGTATATAATTAGCTTAATTTCATGATTTGTATGTAGTGGAAAAGGGGAAACAATCAGGAACAGATGTGACTAAATGAAATTAATCCAATTAAGTTCATTAAGAAATAGTTTTGAAAAAGTTGATTTTAAATGAAAACTGACAATACCATAGTTTCTGAAGAAACTAGACCTAACATCTATACTCAAAATATTTTTTAAAAAGAACATTACTCAGTAATGTTGACTTCTTTGAATATTTATGAGTGTAATCATAGAATAGTGAATATCAATTTAAAATTCAGTTTGAAATGGGGAGTTGGTAAGAAGCAATATTTGGGTGTTTTTTTTAACTATTAAGAGCCATATGAAGAGATAAACACACAGAATGCATTTTAAAGAAACAAACAGCATTTTGAATATGACCTGAGATTCATTAGTCTTCTGTTCATGAAGTCACTGCTATTTCTGTTTTCTAAAAGGGTCTAAGAGACCCGTAAACTTTTTCCCTTTACAGAAAAAAAATTCCTGATTTTGAAAACCAAAAATTAACAAACGAACAATACCATATTAAGTTTTAATTAAAAATGATTTTATGAGAAATCAGCTGTGTTGCAATTAAAACTAAAGTCATTTGTTTGTTTCAATTGAGGAATTAATAAAATTGATTTTCAAAGCAGCACAATTCACAGCACTTACATACCAATACTTAGTTACTGAGTACTGAGTTAATAAGAGTTACATTACAATGTCATGTCAGTTTTCTTAAGCACAATAAAAAGCAGGGAGTCACTTAAAATTGACTACTGTAAATCTTCATTCCCATCAAGAAAGCATTACTCTAGAAAAATGAAGTCACTTTCTTTTTTATGTGATACACAACTTTATTCTTAAAAGGAAAATAGCTGTTGATTAACAACAAGGGCCAGGAATCAGAAAAACCAATTAGAATTAGTATTTTGTTATACTTCAACTGTTTTAGTGTAGGTTTCCTCATTAAAAAAAAAAAAAAAACCCACAGGAACTAATAGGGTTTTCAAAGAATGACTTGAGAATTTAAAGTAAATTAAATATAGTAGTTCACAATACATGTTAGCATATCACTACAAGTCACTTGTTTTCCAATGATAATCTTGTCAAAAGTTATTTTTTTAAAAAGTTTTATTCCTAATATCAGAATTTATAATAGAGTTCTGAGTAAAAAAAATCTATAATAAGATTTAGGTATATATTCAAGATAGTTAAGCTCATTTTGTTCCAAGGTTCAAACATATTTCAGGCAAAGTTTCATTTTTAAAAGTCTATGATCTTTAAAATATTTATATATCTACTTTTTTCGGACATCTGATTTATAAAAAGAGTAAGTGTTCCACATACATTATTTATATTGCTAAGAAGATGAACAGATTAAGAAAAAAGTGTGGGCAGGATTACTTTATCCTTTTTTTCATAACATCATTAGATGATTGATCAAGATTCTAAAGAGAGGAAACTGTGATAAGTATTCATAGGTATTAAGCTTTATTTCATGATTTGTATGGAGTTTAAAAAGAGAAACAGTTAAGAACAGACTGGAATAAAATGAAATTAATCCCATTAAAGATTAATCCTATCCCCTTGTTAGGGTATTCATATTTTTCACAGCTTCAAAACACTGCCATGTTAAAGTGTGAAAAGCTTCAGGAAGTTCCAAAGATAGAAAACATCTAAGATGTAATACATTTCTGTTTAACAGTTTATAATATTGAATTCATAGAAGTCATCTAATTACTTACAAACTGAATAGGATGAATAAATGTCACAGCTGAATAAAAATGACAAATGACTTGCAAATCCACCCTTATGAATGCTTAAACAGTTTTAAATACATTTGGAATCAGGTGATGAATGAGAACCAGTGTCTTGCAAACTTGCTCAAAGAGACAAAATTGAACAGACTGAGGTATGTAAAGCTTTCTCAAGGGAGATAATCCTCCCTTAATATTAATAGTGCCACATACCAGCTTTGAGGCATAATCAATTAATTTAGGTCAGGAAGATAGGACACATTCTATATGGTGTAAAAAACTAGCTACAACACTAAACCCCAGTCCACTAAGCAGAATGTGTGATGTATATGGATTGCAGTTTTCATCTTATGAAATAACCAGTAATAAGCACAACTTTAAAATGAAGATGGTTTTCCAAAGAGAAGAAAATCACATTTCAGTACCTTGTCTTCCCTCATCATTGGTAAACAAACCAGCATCAGTGCTGCTGAGACTGCTGGAATCACTGTAATAAAAAAAAAAAAAAAAAAAAAGAAAGAAAAGAAAGAAAAAAAAACAGATCAAAAGAACAATTGATCTCTCAGTCGTAAAATTTTAAAGAGACATGGCAGCTCAGAGATGGAACTTAAGCTTGACAAAGATCTGAAAGAAAATAAGATGATTTTTTTTTAATCAAACTGCAAATATCCTGGTTCCATTAACTACAGAGCATATTATTTTTGGCACATAAAACCACAGGAATCTAATGGGACCCTGACAGTAAGCCAGATGTGACTGCAACGAGGTGCTGACACAATTGATGCATTTTATTATCTGCTTTCATCAAATGCTCACTGCTCCTTTCTTATGCTGTGCAATTCAGCTTGCTCCTGAAACACCACTGCTTGATAAGATGAGAAAAGTCTCAATCAAAAACAGGCTAAGATTTTCTTCAGTACATGAAATACAAGGGCCTAGGATGAAATTACTTTTCATTTCCACATTTGCAAATATTCTAGAAAAGACATTCCTTAAGAATTCACAACAACTCCATTATTTCACATGGAGGAAAAAAGTTTAAGATGGTGACAATCCACTAAATCAAAGTTGAGGTCACTCAGAACAACAAAATGAATATTACCAATATTAAGAAGGGCATGTACAAAAATCACATGGGTTCTCATTACTTCTATAGGAGTTGGAGAATATAAGACACATGCAACACACAAAATAAAACAAATATTTGACCAATAAGAACAAACTGTCATTATTAGTTCTAACAGGATAAAGCTTATATGATAGTCTAGTTAATTTAAAATATTGGCTGCTAAAGAATTTTTTTTTTAAATCCTCATGTACTTTTCTTTGTACTATAGTTCTTAATTTTAACCAATCAGTAAATTGCTCCCAGCTGATTATTTTTTAATTAAAATACTTTTTCCATTAACATCTAGAACAATGTAATCTATTAAAAAAGATACATCTTAACTTGTTATACAATATCTAAACTGAGATGCTTAAGGTTAAAATTATTGATGAGATTTAAATCCATATATTTTCTGAAAAAAATATCAATTTTCAGTTTTACTTACTTTTAAAATGTAAACATTAACAAAAAGTATAGGCATTTGTCAAGAGGCACATTCTTCCAAGGAGCACTGAATTAGAATCTTTTTAACTTTCTTCAAATTAAGTGAATACATGAAGCTCCCTATAGTATAAAATTGGTAATAAAATATTTTCAAGGGCATCAAATCCATATTGACTTATTTAAAAATATATGCTTTCTATGCATAGTGATATTATAGTATTAAACCCACTTGAGAAGCTTCATCTTTCTGCTTAGCAAGTTCAAACTACTGTTGATCATTTTCCTGTTTTTCCTGTTGCCTCTATCAACATAACTCAAATGAAGGTCATTATCCATGCCTCTGGGCACAATTTCTTTTCTAAAAACTTGAGGCAAATTCAAAATTACTCAAATTTTAGAAAAGCATACTCTAAAATCTAGGGTAGCATTCCATAATCAAATCTATTATATTTTTCAATTGAACAAATAAATATGCACATTAAATACAGGTCAAAGTCTGTCACAAACAACTGAGTTTTTCACAGCTTTTCAGAGTACAGATTTATAGATGGTGAATCAATTTACTACTTTTTTTTTTTGGTACTATGATCTTCTAATTTGAGTTCAGATTTATGCCATGCTAATTAATTCTACATACAGTTAGGTTGATCTTTGCAAACTATAACTGGATGACTAAAAGTCATGTGACAACCTGTAATAGAAAAAGGACTTTAAATAAAAGCAATGGAAATGCTAATAAAATATGGAGTTTACTTAAAATATGTTATCAATATTGGTTCCATCACTGTTAACAGGGTACCACAATAAGACAAATGATATTAACAACAGAGGAAACTGGGTGTGGATATATGAGAATGTGATATACATGAATTCTATGAACTGTCTTTGCAATTTCTCTATAAATTTAAAACTATTTTTTAAAAGTTTATAATATACACACATGTACACACATAAGAAAAGATTCTTCTATTTAAAACTCTGAAATTACTACCTTATACCTATTGGATTAAATTTAGATTTCAAGGATTTCTATTGGTAGGATTCTCTCTAAATTTTTCCCACCATCAGTTTGGATCTTTTGTTTACATTCTGTCTCCAATTGGTATATATAGTTTTCTCCTCTACCCAACCTGCTCACTCTCTTAAAGACAGAAGGAAATCAAAATTCCCTAAGAACAGCTTTTAGTCCTAAATGATTCTTTTCCTACTCTGAGATAGTTTTTACATTTATGTTTATAACATATATCCTTATTTACATGATATCTAGCTTGTTGCTCCATTTACATTAAGTACATCTTACTCTGTTCAGTAATTCAGAACAAGAACTTAAAGGGAAGAAAGGCTTTTTATTTTCAGATGCTGATGGTAATTGCAACTAATCTTCAAGGACATCTCTTTTTTTGGTTTCATTTTTATTACTAGTATTCATATAAGAATAGACTGCATGACTGTTTGCTGAATAAATGTATGTACACTAATACAAATCCCTTTTCCTGATCTGTTCACTCACCATTTTTCTATGACTTGAAATCTGGGCATTATCTGAGAGCATTACCCTTCCAAACACAGTCTATGGGAGCATTGATTCTACCTTTTAAAATTGTTCTCTAATACTCTCAAATATTCCTCTACTAGTACAGCCATAATTCATTTTCTACTGGACAGACTGGAGGTCAGTCAAAGGTAAACAAAACAGTGCTGCCAAAATTATGTTATCTTGATAAAATGTAAACCTAATTGAGTTTTTCCACTGCTAAAAACTCTTCACTGACTTCTCATTACCTACATGATGAAATCTAAACTATTTACCATAGCACATGGGCCTTCAAGAAATGTTATGGCTGCAGCCATATTTATATTTTAATAATAATGAACTACAAACATTTCTCCAAATGTACCATACTGGTGTCAGAATTCATGCATTTGCATAAGCTGTTCATTATAATCAGGGATGCTATTTCCTTCTCTCCTTTTCACTTTGTACATTTGTGAACAACTCTTAGTTCTTGCTTTTAGTGCAGCTTCTTTAGGAAGTTTTGCCTCACGAGTACCTGCCACACAGCACATTCCATTTCAGCATTTGGCTAATTCAGCCAGGAGGCTGTTGAGGAGAGTCTGAATTATTATTCAGGTACCAGTGAATATTACATAGTAATTTATGAAATGTTTGTTAACTCTGAGACCTACACAGACAAAACACACAGAGTAATGCTGTTCTTATTTACAAGTCAGTTCAAGAAAACATATAGACAGCTTTTTATAATAGGAAAACTTTGGATGTAGTCTCAAAAAACATCTACATGTGTTAGGAAAATATGTTAAATGTTTAACAATCTTCCCATAGAAGAAAACTGTAGCTAATTCTTAAATGGCAAGAGAAAAATCATTTTACAGAAAAGTTTAAAATCAGAGCAAGCACATATTTTTTATTTTGTTCAGGAATGAAAATATTCTGTTTAAAGACTTGAACCCGGGTTGTTAACTTCTAGTTAACCTGATCATACCTAGTGAGTACTCAAATATTTTTTTACAATGAAGGAAAATAAATGATAGGATTTTCATCTCAATTCTGTTCCCAGGCAGATGTCCTACGAAACAGATCAATAAAAGGCAGACATTAAAAAAAAAAAAAGGAGGGGTTTGCACAATCTAAGTGTGAATAACCCAGAATCAAGAATGTTAGTTATCTCCACCATCACACTCTCCCCCCAGTAACTGAGCAGTAATATAATTACTTTTATGACAGACTGAGTGGTCCTCAGACACAATGGCCCAACAGTAAGGTACAAATGATTCCCATTTCTATATAAAAAATCACAACTTTCTTGAAAGAAAAGATTTCATAAACTTTTCAAAGTCTTCCTGAAACATTTTTCTCACTTTAAGTAAATTTTACTTCTTCAGAATAATAACATAAATAGAAACTATGTCTAATTAAAGAACCATTCCATAAACTCTTGCCAGGTTCTAGTCAGGTCTGTAATCATATTTACAAATACAACAAGAATAAAAATTATTTCCATATCCTATAAAAATGACCTGATGCTACAAATTAAAAATCAAATACTTTTTCCCAGCCCATATGTAAGGAATTTTTTTTTTCTGACTCATACGCATTTGGTTTTAAGGACATACACCTAAAAGGATGAACAGTGTCAACATCTCATTTCTTGCAAGTAGCATCAGTTCTGTGTGAAATCAAAATTATCACTTACCTTTTGATGCTGTAAAAATAGGATTTAACAATTATCATAGTGGTACACCTGCTTCCTAGAATGGATGTATTAGACTAACTGCCAAAGGATTGTTGCTTCTTCCACTTTTCTAATGACAAAATCACATAGACCATAAATTAGGTTTTATAATTATCAATAATCAGAATACCTACCAAGCTAATACTTTAAATATCAAACCATTTATATGTCATAGTGGTATAAACTTTTGATTCTTAAGAATCAGAATGAATCATGTACTTAGCACCAAAGGCTAAAACTCTATAATTAACCAAATAAATAATTATATATCCAATTCTAAGAGTTACAAATGTGCTATTATTCTAAAGTACATTCTTTCCCACTGAAAATCTATTTCCTTTTCTCTTTGTAGCTGAAAATTAAGTCATTATAACACAATCAGAAGACTTCGTGTAAATCAAATAAGCAATTTTGCCTGGTGAAAAGCATCATAAATTATTAGGAAATATAATCATAGTTAAATAGTAATATCACTATCATCATTACAATTTATAATTATTTTAAAATAGAATTAATTAAAATATAAAACACATTCAACCACAAACTGTAGACAAATATTTTTATATTTAGAAAACATAAAAGTCACCTTTCACTCATGAGCTCATCTGAGACTTTTTGCTCTTCATATTCCATTTTGTCCTTATTGGTCTGGCTTATTTCCTCACTTTCTAAAACTACTCCTTCATCTGGGATTTTTGGTCCTTGTCTAATTATTTTCAACTTTCTTTTTTTAACTTTATTCTTGGTAAATTCTTGATACTGGTAAGCTCTATCATTGTCCATGTCCTGGTCTCTACAACCTTCAGGCATCTGTGTCATGGTCCGTTTGTTAGAGATGTCCTGTGGGAGATCCACAGCCATTCGTTTCACCTTTCTCCTCCTGCGGAGAGTTCGGTTTCCCAGGTTGTCTACAGCAAAATCAGACTCATGCCATAGAGGTCTTTTCCCTCGAACATTGTTATTTAAGTTTGATGATGGCCTGCGCTTGGCCACTAACATTTGGTCATCAGAGTCACTATGATCTTTTTTATTATTATTGTGATTTTCTCTATAGTCCTTGCTTGGTTCTTCTAAACTAGAATCAGAGCCTTCACTTAAGCAGTGACCAGTCTCCCACGGGTGGTGAACATTATAAGACCTCCGCTTCCTCCCTCTCCTTTTCCTGGCTTGGCGTTTCAAAGGGCAAGAAATACTTCGAGAATGGTCTCCTGTTTCAGCAAAACCACCTCGTGCTTGCTCTGAGCTCTCTTCCAGGGCTGAGACAAGGTCGTGAACCAGCTCCTCCATGGTTCTACTGAAATGCCTACATTTTTTAGAGAATGAAAAAGGAAAAAAAAAAAAAAATAGTCACTCTAAGCCATGCTAATTGAGTCTTCTACAGCAGATGATTCACTCTATATTGGACTAAAATTTGGTCATTACAAAATGTTTGAAGCTATTTTCCTAGTCAATGTACTACCATTTCAAATATTCTGATTCCTTTTAAAGCATCCTCATGCATAAGTTCTTTTATTAAACAGAAATTATTTCAAAATAGAGTAAATATAGTGTCAGCAACAGAACAAACCATATATTTTTACTATGTAACTATGGAAAAGCTCTTTCTGCTTAAATCACTTTTCCTTGACTATCTCTGTCCTTTTTCTTGAACCGATTCTCCTCAGAGCAGAGAAAACTTTCCCAGTCCCCTCCCTGCCCACTAATTTCTAAATGAAGACAGAAGCATTAAATCCTCTACTTACCACATGTTGTACCTAATCACTGCTACAATACAAGAGACAAGCAGAAAGACCGGTATTGTCAAGATTTAAAATATATGGGAAAAAAAAGTTTAACTAAACACTAAGCATATATTTAGGCCACACTAAGCATATAATCCAGTGAAGCAGAAACTATTTACATCAAAACTGGAGCCTCACTGGTCTAAAAGGGCCCATCATTAATTTATTCTGAAGTAGTCTCTGAGGCTTTTTTAGTCAGCAAGGATAATATCAGTCTTCTTTGGGAACTTTAATAAATTATATAGTTCTTTCCAAACTCAATACCCCCAAATTTTAAATTAGTTGGTGTGATACAGAACCTAGGTATCTGATTTTATTTTTAAACATTACAGATAGTTTGGATATGTACACCTTTCATAAAAAGACCATGGGCAATCATGTCTCAAATTGAGGTCTAAAGGCGCATAGGGATAAAAATATTCTCAACTGGCCTCTAGAGGCCTACGTAGTTCCAGCAGTCTATTAGCAAGGGTATGCAAAGGGCCAGATAATAAATATTTTAGGCTGTTTAGGCCATTAGGTCTCTAACAACTACTCAATTTGTCATTATAATGCAAAAATAGCCACAAGCAATACATAAATGTATGAGTATGATTGTGTTCTAGTAAAGTTTTATTTATAAAATCAAATAGTGCCTGGCCCATTTGATGACCCTTGGTCTAAATAGACTTTATAGAGTCTTTGTCATTTATTATTTATAATTTTAGATTTTAGCAAATTCCCTGTAATAACCTATAACTATTCCTTTACATTTAGTGATAACCTAAGGGGGAAAAAATACACATACATCATGATTCACCTGGATTTACCATTTATAATATTATACACACATACAGTTTTAACACTTGAGTGTTTACTATTTGCCAGGCTTATTTCTGAGTGTTTTCTATATTTTACCTCATATTCACATGATAATCCTATAAGGTGGCATATGGAAAAAAAAAACAGATTTCCTTCACAATATGACATTTAAGTGATAGAGACAGGATTAAACTCAATGTCGTTTCAGAGCTCCAATGCTTATTCAACTACAGAAAACAACTACCTAATTCCAGTATCCAGTCTATATATTTTATGATTAATTTAGCACCAAGCAGTATTACTTTCATTTTATATGTCATCTATATGTAAAAGCCATTATGTTATTTTGAATAGGAGAAAGGAGTGGGAGGCTAAATCAAAACAAGATACAAGATAGTATAGCCGGTGAAAACAGAATAAGCAGAATGAGCTAAAAAAAACCAACCCTGTATTGGTTATTTGAGTGTATATTGTCAACAATTATGTAACACAGCATTATCTTTAGTTCATATTTTCCAGATTTATCTCCTTTGGCAATCTGAATGTAAAAAATAAAAACACACATGTCTGGACACATGTTTTTCAAAAACATAGTGGTTCAAATATATATTTTAAATGAGGCAACTGAGACTTTTTTAATAAGGGTTCTATATATAACTGGTCTCAGAATATAGTATTAAATTAATAGAAATATATATCACATAGGAATTGGCATGAAGCCAAAACAGCGGCTACAATTCTGACTGCATTGATAACCTTAATGAATATTTTTACCATTATCTATAAGCTAATAATTGTCTTTCTGTTTTCTCTTAATGCAATGAATGTCTTGTTCTTTTCCTTTAACACCATATTTTTAAAGAAATATGTCTGAAAGACCTATTATCTCCAAATATTATATTGTTCCTTTAAGAAAACTTACTTGATGCCAGTCTAAGATGTATTACAATAAGGATCATTTCTCTAAATGACTATTCACCTGAATCTGGAGTAACTTTCTTTGTGAAGATAGGACGTTCTTATCAATGGATGAATAAATAGCTTAAAATATTGAAACATGAAATTAACTCAATGGATGAATATAACGTCCAAATAAAATTACAGTTTATTTTGAAGTTATAATTTGGTACTATACTTCAGGAGAAAAAAAAATCATTGAAGATGTAGCTCAGTTCAGAGTGCTTGCCTACCAAGCAAAAACCTACGTTCAATCCCTAGCACCACAAAAACAAAACAAAACAAGAAACAGAAAAGTAAGTAGTCTTAACACTGGAAAATTGATCCTTTGAAATCTGACACTCTAATTCTTGTTGAAAAAGTATTACTTGTTGAAAAATTACTACTTATTGAAAAAGTACTTCTATAACTAATAAAATATAACCAATATTACCAAAATGAAAGTAAACATTCTTAATCTCATTAAAATTGTGTCAGCCTTATTCAATTTTGTTTCTCAAAATGAAATAAAATATATTAAAAAAATTTTTAACTAGAAGAATCGAAATTATTCCATATATCATTCAAATACAAATCAACTGAAAATTACTTTTAAGTTTCTTCAAAAATTCTATGAAAACACAGAAAAAAATACATTTATTGTAAGCGCAACTCAAGAGTTCAAAGCACTTTTTTCTTTATGTACCTAGACTCTTCTATAAGTTAATCCCAATCAAAATCCCTATTAATGAGCCAATAATATTAGACACTTAATGTTAAGCTTAAGCTGCTTCACTAACATTTCACAGATAAAATGGGCATCAACTGGTCAATAGAAATAAAAGCAAAATAAGATAATCAAGTGAAAAATAGTTGTTTTATTTATTTGCAGTTGTACTGACACATCAGAAGATTACTGTACTCAAATACTTTGTCCTCATCATATTTAGCTTAGGGGTTTCCTTCAAATGTTTCTGGCTTAAGAAAGAAAAATCAGGAAGCTATTTAGTTTTAACATACTGCTTATACCTCTCCAAAAGATTAGAAGTTGATAGATGGCCCAATAGCTCTAAAATTGCTGTTAAAATATATGTAGGTGGGGACAGCAGGAGAAAAGAACACCCAGAAAACGGAAACTCCCAATAACTGAAATTAACTATTTTATTACTAATTATTGTTTGTGAAGCCCCACTCATTCCTAAGAAAAAAAATACAGTATGTATAGAAAAATTAATAATTATTTTCTTGCCTAGATGCTGATACAAGCAACTATATAATAAAAAGATATGTTTGTGTTTCTGCTAAATAAAAACAACATAAAAACAACAACAAAAAACTTCGAGATATAACTAAAAAGTAACCATTAGAACTATTAAATACCTAGTTAAGGGAAAAAAAATCAAATACTCATCACTTAGTACATGGTAAAAATCTCTGCCTCTCTAAAACATGTATTATTTCTTTTACAAAGTTAAATAATTTTATTAGTGGAGAGCTAAATATAAGTCAAGTGCTAAGCACTTCTTCTACAAAACTGAGTTGTTTTATTTGTGGAGAACTAAATATAAGTTAAGTGCTAAGCACTTCAATTGGGTATCAATAATTTAAGTGAAGAAATAACCATTTTTGTATCTCTATGATATACAAACTCTGTGTGTACAAAAGTAACCCTGTATTCAGTCAACAACTATGCTGATAAATGTATCTGTGAGTACTCACAAATTTAAAACAGTCATAGAATTACATACTTCAATATCATCTTAGGTTTTATTAAGATAAGAGAGGTTGGATAGAAAAGGATTAGTTGGTCCTAAAAGTCCACAGCAAAGAGCCAAATAGTACAGACGAAAATCAACACACAATAGTGTGGATCACGACAATGAGTGACTAAACATACAAACAGTAAATATGAAAGAGGCTATACGAACGGCCAAATTTTATGTCTAACACAGCTTGATCCTTAAGAATTATCTTAAGTTTAAGATTTCTGCTGCTCATTATAATTTCCTTCCTTAATGGTACTATCATTTATCAAAATAAGTCTTTATCTCAAGTTAGTAATTTATTAAGGACTATGTCTTCGATTTTCTCCTTTCATATGTTGGGGACATTATTATTTGAGGAAATCAAGAATAAACCTAACATTAAATGTTAATACTTAAGTTAGTATAGAAGTTCCTTGAACTATCCATGCAAAGTATGAATCACAAGTAACCTTTTTCTCTCTTTTAGAAGGAAGTGCATTGGGGTGGGGGAAAAAACTATCTTTTTCTGAAACATATAAATGATCAGTTTCAAGTTTATGTTAACACTAGGCAATATATATGAAAAGAATTCTCTACAGAAAAAAAAGGCTGAGAAGTAACAATAGAACATGAGTTTTAGAATCCAAACTATGAATTTGGAAATTAAATTCTGTTATATTCATTAGCAACAACACCTTAAACAATTACCTTCTGATTTCTATATTTTCATCATGAAAACCAGCACAATTTCTACCCTGAAGGCACTCTTGAGGATGAGAGGAAGTACTTTATGTTGAAAGAAGTTATTTTACCTTTCAACAAACTCCACCCTCAAATAAGAGAAACAGGTCACTGAAAAAGCAAGTCATTCTGCTTTTAAGGTACAATCTTACCATGAATCCTGAGGCTAACATAGGAAAAGCTAAGTCCCTCAATGTTTCTGAGGTTATGAAACATTACAAATGTTGGGGCACTGTAGGACAACAGGTATACAAAATTGTGGTATAGTCTTAGAAAGTTTGTGGACTCTTTCAGGACTCTATCATGTTAAAAAGAGGCCCTAAATTCCTAACTTAAAAAAAAAAAATGGAGTATATCTGACCTGATATACAGATATAAATGAAAAAGAAAGGATTAAAGAAAATAATGCTCCCTGGTTAAGAGTCACAAAGTTCACCACCAAACTGAAAAATTCATTTCCCATAATGGGGGCAAAGCTCCATTGACTTATATTCAATCATAGGTACTGCTAGCAGCTGCTACCAAGGGGAACAAGGTGAACATCTAGAAAGTTTTCTTTTCCTCTTACTCTAGCAACTTATTGTAAACAAAAATCATGATTAATTAAAAAAAAAGTCTAATTCTACTTTTCAAATTAGTGATTTAATATGGCAAGACCATTTATTATTTAAATGAGCATTCTTTTGGGGTTTTTTTTTGTTGTTGTTGTTGTTGTTTGTTTCTTCATTTTTAGCTGGACAGAAACAAGGATGCTAGGAAGCTATAAAAAAATAAATTGCTTGCCCAAAATCATACCAGCTATTGCTTTGATCCTTAACTGAAAGAGAATCCTAAGTAAACCTGAGAGTAAAAAAAACCAAAAAACAAAAAACAAACAAATCAAAGAAACAGCTAACCAAAATGCAAGTTTTACTATGTACTTTTCCAGACCTAAAGAAAATCAAAATACCAAATAGGAACAAAATTACAGAAACAAAGGTCCAGAATCCATACAGTTTATTTTAAAGGCTTAAAATTAGAAAGAAATAAAAAAAGGAAACCCATATAACAAATTTAAATAAAGAGAATATCATAGTTCAATAAAGAAATCATCTACTTTAAGCACTAAATGCCTAAAAATTAAGAAACTAATCTCCACATTGGAGAAAATGTTAAAAAAAAAAGAAAGAAAAGTTAAGAGAAGTTAACTACCTCAGGTACCTCAGTTACTCCTCAGGGACTCCAGGTTGCTTAACAAATCTGAGAGATACTGTATGTTATTCAGATACTCAGGCAGTATACACCTGGGTGGTTAGGTATTTTCTTTAGCTACACATGAATCATACTACAAATGAGACACTTAGGGTAAATTATTTAAACTGTTTTCCCTCCTGTGTCACCTTATCTAAAATGCAAAGAATGATGTACCTACCTCAAAAGAGTTACAAGAGATGATAGTAGCAACCTCAGCAGCACTATGATTTCATTACTGAGATAAAACAAACATGTATGGTATATAACGACTGTTTTAATGAAAGAATCCATTAAGAAATACTGAATGATTAAACAGTTGTGCACATAAACTAGAAAATAAAAGTTCTAGTTTTCTGTAACACATTAATTCTGTCAAATCAGGTAGTTTCATTCAGAAACACTAGGCACTATGTTCTATTCTGGTTCCAATCGAAAGGATGAGTTGCATGCCAACAAGAAAAGTTGGATAGGTTTATCAAAAGAGAACTGAAGGAGGGCTGGGGTTGTGGCTCAGGGGTAGAGCACTTGCCTCTCAAGCATGAGGCACTGGGTTCTATCCTCAACACCACAAAAACAAACCAAAATAAAGTTATTGTGTCCATCTATAACTAAAAATATTTTTAAAAGAGACAGAGAGAGAGAGAATTGAAGGACATTTCTCGATATTATACAGAGGTATCAACCCATGATTTGGACAGGAGTTGCAAAGTACAACAAGGAGTTGAGAGGATCATATTAATTTTTAATTAAACAGTACTTACCCTACAAATCAATATCACCTTAGTAAAAGCAGATCAATCTATATAGCACATTCATCTCCCTCCTTAACAAAAATAAATGGTAAAATATTAAGAAATACACAAGCAGAACAAACTACGGAGTGGTGGAAATGTCCTTTATCTTGTTTTGTATAGCAGTTACACAACTATGTACTACTGCCAAAATAAAATTAAGTATTTTAAAACTATGCTTTTATTTTATGCTAATTACACTAATTTAAAAATAGCTCATTTTGAAAGTGACCCTTACTATTCTCAGGGTAAATTTGAGAATTTTAAAGTAGCTCATTCAAATCTATATTCATTATAAAATGAACTATAAAATGATCTGATCCAACTCAAAATACTTTGGGTAAGAATTTTTTTTAACTTTTCAGTTGTAAGAAATTTTGAGATCATAAACTTGCAAGAATCCCTAATGGACTTAGAATTCATCAGAGTCTTTCTATCCTCTGTGGCATTTATGAATGGATATGTATTTTAATGTCACATTTCTTACACTGGTTTGGTAAAAAAATTTTATGTTTGAGGATTGTAAGAAGTCTGCTTGTCTGTTTCGCTGATTTTCTTGTGTATACTTGCAGGAAAAAAATATTTGGAAGAAAAACAGGACTGAATCATAGTTTTCAACAAGAAATTCTAAAGACATCTTGTCTCTCTAGCTCTAAAATGTGCAGGGCAACTTTGGACAAGTCACTTAAGTAAATGTTCTGTGCCTGTGATATTCTGGTATCATAGGCTGTCATAGAATAAAGTGTAATTTGTGAAAGCACTTTGAAAATTTAAAGCAATATTTTATCTGAAAGTGCCACTAGTGAAATAATACTATAGACCTACCAAACCCCAGCCTTAACCCTGGAATTTATTGGTGTTCCCAAACAACACCCATACACATCTCCTTTGAACTAGAACGGTATATTCAAAGTAGTGGAAAATGGGTAGGCTACTCCCCTCATAAAGAGTGGGAGGGGGAGATTAAAGTGATATCTCCTTCACTACTAAACTTCCAGAACTCTATAGATTTCTGGCATTTGGTCTTACAAGAAACTTGTTATGATCTGGCAATGTTAGCAGGGGAATTGGGAATAAAGCATTCCTGTCCATAGGTCTTACCAGTAATCAAGGAGAGATCAATTACGGAAAGCTTGACCAACTCGGTCCCAAATACCCTAAGTGTTAGACAAGCCATCAGCAAGCATTTACCGTGTTCCTGCACAAATCTTTAGCACACATCAAAATGCCTCCCTCAAACTGCGTCCATCACAAGCACGAGTGACAGCAAGGCCTAGAAGTCTTCAGATCATCCATCACAACTCCCTCCCCCTTGGATTCCAGGTCCGGCGGCCTCTGGCCAAGACATTTCCTGATCTCCCATTCCCGGGGCCGCCAGCCTCACCAGCTGTTCCCGGCGGCTGGAGCTCCGATCGGTTGGCGCCCGGCGGCCCCGAACATTAACGACACCCAGGAGCCTGGCCTCGTGGCTCAGGCCCGAGAACAGACTCCAACTACTACAGCCCCGGAGACTTCCAAAGAGCAGTTCAGCATTTTGAGAAGAGCTTCCGGAAGCTGGCTGGAGGCGGAAACCGGATGTTCGGAGCAACCATAATTCTCCTCCCCACTGCTTTCCTTTTCTACAGTCGCCTCTTTTTATTCCTAAACGAGATAGAGACAGTTAAAATAAGCTTTGTTACTACACCGAAAATTAAAAATTCTCTATAAGTATTGCCCTTAAATCCGAAACAGGGTGACATAAAAGAGAAGATAGGGAAAGTGGAACCCCCGGGACTGGCCTGTGGTATCGCCCGGTTGCCCGGGAAACCGACAGTAACGCCAGTTGCAAACCCCTGGCCCAGGGGCCATGGCCACGTTAGCCCGGCTGCAGGCTCGGTCGTCGTTTGTAGGAAATCAGTACTACTTTAGGAACCGGTAAGTCGTGAAGAAAGGAATCCCATAAAGGGCTGGCTGTTTTTAGCCATTAGTTTTTCAGTGGAACTTTACCATTGACAAATTCCCTCATTCAGTACTCAGTTCCCCCTTTCAATGAGTGCAAACAGAACCAGAAGTTTAACGTAATATTAACTATACAAGGAGATTATAAATAGAGGGAGGCCATGGATATTCAGGTTGATATAAGGAAAGTTCCAGCGTAGATAAAATTGTAAAGCACCTCCCCCCATCCCCACCACCACCATTAGACATCATCACAACGCAGTTTGAAGAAATCTGCCTTCTCCCTGTTGAAGGTTTAATGGCCTTGATGCAGTCACCCAGGCTCCCTAGCTCACTGATCTCAATGAGTCCTCATTCTGTCTAGGGATCTGAGCCTCTGTCATGTCCCAAACATCATGGAACTCAATTGTTCTAGGACTCATTTCCTTCTGAAAATCAAAGTATCCGAACCATTCTGGCAAGATAATTAGTGCCAACGAATTAATTAATAGAAGAGGGCAAAGAAAGACACTAGCACTTTTTCCATCTCCTTACAGCCAAACTTCACAATCAGAAACAGGTTTATTTTAACAGTGGCCCAGAAGCATTGACCCAGGAGTTTTTCCAACTTAAGAGATATTACCAAAAAAAAAAAAAAAAAGTAAATTGGACTGTGATAGAATGCAGTGACGTGGCAGACCAGTGGAAAATATGTCAATAAGTTAGAAATTTGCTGAGTTGTTCTGATTTTAATTTTTATCTACCACACTATTTCACTGTGTACCTCTTACAACAATTCAATTTTTATGTTTTTGTGAAATAACATATATCTATACTCTTAAAGTAGAAGCAGAGATAATGACTCTTTTTTGCTTACCATTTTTTGCTTACCATTTTTTGAGTTACCATTTTCAATTAATGTAATTGAAAAATTACATTAATGAATCTTTCAATTGCTTTTTGTTTAAGTAAATATTCTCAATAGCTAACTAGAAATAATCTATTTACATTCAGAAATTATCTCTTTATTTAGCATCCATCTAGAATGTATATGGCAGGCCCTGTATTTATTTATGACATAAATATATTCATAAATAAATTCTATCCCTATGATGATCATATCCTAGCATGGAATTGGGACATTTAAAAAAATAATTGTGCTATAGTAAGGCAAATAGAAATGGAAACAACTAACATTGTTTGAGCACTGATTATACATGAGACATTGCACTAATAACTTTCTCATCTATTTCTTTTGATTTTCACAATGATATGAGTGAATGTATTAATCTGAGTATTTAGATCTCTAGAACAGTATTCAAGGAAAGCCTGATTAAGTGCTAGACAAGAGCAAAGGAACTAATTACTCTTCACAGATTTCAGTGTCCACATTTGCCCCTATCTGGATTTTAAAAATGGGCATCTCTTCCTAAACTTTGAGATTGCCTGGAGAAATGACTAATGCTATGCAAAAATCTTGATGAAAATAAACTGGCATTCCTAGCATTTCATTTATAATTATTAAAAATAATAATACTTTTAGTTTAAAAGAATTGTAAAGATGATAAGGGAAACAAAATTCTAAATTTTGTGTAGTTTTTTTAAAAATCAGAGTATTGATAGTTTAGGGCAAAAAATAATAAAATATTAGTATGACTGGAAAGTAAATAGTAAATTTCCTTCATAAAGTAATGTCATTTTCCGTTTGTTATTGACTTGGATAGTTCTTCATAAATTTTAACCTTGGGAACTTGTTGAAAATGAAAATTCTGGTTCAGTGTGTCTTGGTGGCAGAGAGTCTATATTTCTAACAAGAATTCATATGAGGCCCTACTCTGCATAAAAAGAGAGACTGTAATAAAGAAACAGTGTATGGGCTTTTCTTACATTTATTTCTTCAACATCCTTATGAATTATATATATATTCCTTAATAATGTGAAACAATGAAAATGAGATTCAGTTAGATTGAGTAATTTGTGCAAGGTCACACAACTATGAAGTATTAAAGCCAGGAAATTTCACTCCGAAACCTATTCTGTACAATATGACTCAAGAGATTATGTGGAAATACTATAAGAAAACTTTTCTAAACTGAATAAAGAGTGTAGATTTGAAAATAAAGGACTCTCTGAGTCTTATAATTTCTTGAAATGATATAATCTTTAGATATTATTTGATATAATTCCAAGATATAGAAGAAAGAAATCACATGCTTCTACTCTAGACAGAAGAGAAAAAATTATTTTCTAAAGAAGCAGATGCATTGGATTCTTTATCTGCTCAACACTGAAACCTAGAAGACTGAAAAACAGTAATTACTCATGATTCAGGGGAATTAGCCAAGAATCCTAGCAAAGATCCATGTTTTGGGGAGGATATGAAAGGCATTTTGAGACATGTAAAGACTTAAGTGCCTTCCCTTTGTCCTTATCTGAGGGCATGTATTCAAGAAAATACAGTATTTCGTAATCAATTAAAAATTAAATCGGAACAAAGGTCTCACAATAGGAGAAAAAAAGAAAAATAAGTAATAGAAACAGCAATAAGAAATCATATTAGCAATATTTATGGTTTAAAGAGCATTATTTTGTGCAATTAATGGGATCCCTAATTGTATTCTTTCTGGACATCTTGGGCAAATTCAACAGCTTATTCAGTTTTCCATATGATTTCAGGCAATAGTCTTGGGAATTTTCCTGCTAGTACATGCTATGGGTTCTTTTTTTCCAGCATCTATTAGTTTCCTCAATATTCTTTCAGCCTACATTGGGAGCTGTTTCACTGACCTTTAGAACTGCCACATCTTCTCCTCTATCATTGTATCCCAAAGCCAGCATCATAAAGTTTTAGTTTTCTAATAGCTTTTCACTGTGATCAAAATACCCTAGAACAACTTAGAGGAGGAACAGTTTATTTTGGCTCATGGTTTCAAAGGCTTAGTCCATGGTATGCCAGTTATAACGTTCCTGGCCTGAGTAAGGCAGAACATCGTGGCAGAAGTTCGTGGCAGAAGAAAGCTGCTCAGTTCCTGACAACCAGGAAGCAGAGCAATTGAAGTCCTAGGAACAAAATATAAACTCCCAAAGTCACACCCTTAGCAATCTACTTCCTCCAGCCACACCTAGATGCCTATATTTAACACCTAGTATAGTAGTCCTTTCGAATGGATTAATCCATAGATTAAGTTATAATCTCATAATCTAATTGTTTTACCTCTAAACATTTCTTCATTGTCTCACATGAGTGTTCTAAGGACACCTCATATTCAAACCGTAACTATGTAGCAGTGTACTATACTGTCAGTTTTTATCTCTCTTTTAATTGTTATATATTCAAATTAGTAAATGTGTTTCTCTGGCTTTAGGGATTTTAGTTGTTCTTAGATTACTTTACCAGTTTAAGATTATATGATGCTTATCTATATTTAACTATAATATGTTAAAGTTTTATAACATTTTCCTTTACTCATTATGCAATTTTGTTCATCTGCTTATACCATGAGGTACAGATACCTTTTTCTGTGTAAATACTGTTTATTGAATAGTCTTTTCTTTCCTTACTAGTTCTAAATGTTCCAAGATGGTTAAATAAAAGGCATAAAATGGCAAAGAAATAAAATTGTATTTATTTACTGGCAGGATGATTGTGTCCATAAAAAACCCTAAAACACATGCAAAACAAATTAGAATAATAAATGAATTTAACAAGCTTACAGAGTACAAGGGAACACAGAATCATCTTTTTACATATTAGAAATTGATATTTACAGTTTGAAACACAACAGTATTATTTTAATAGCTTTAAAAATACATGTCATTTGTCCCAGGAATGTCAGTTCTTCTATTGACCCTATAGAAGTACTCTCATATTTACACAATTTGTGTTCAGGATTATTTTGTGTACAGGGTTATATGCACAAAAGTACTCATTAAAACATTTTATAAATATATATGTATATATATATTTATATATTTATATATCATTTAAACTATAAATACCTTGTATCTTACATTTGAAATAATGTGGCGAAATTCAGGCATATGCACATGGTAGGATATAAATCATAGTTTAAATGAGTAAAAGTTTTATATATAATAACATGAAAAAGTCCTTGAAATAAATTAAGGCAAAAAAATATAATAGAAATAAGTAATATACTTTGTGTGCTCTTTTATATAAAATTGTAGAACTAAAACTATGGTTCTGGAGTAAAACATAGAAAGCTGTCAATAGTGGTTTGATTTTGAATATTGAAAGATGGGTAGATTGAAAATAGAATCTTAATATGTTTTCTGTGTATTTTTCCTTGTTTAAATTTTTATATTGAACATTGGGCAATTATATATGATTTGTGAAATAAATCATAGGTAAATAGGAAAAAAAACTTGTTCAGGAGTAAACTTTTGTTTTTAAAACATAACAAAGTAAATAACCATATGCCAAAAACATACATTGGAGAAAAAGATAGCCTTTTCAACAAATGGTACTGGGAAAACTGGAAATCCATATGTAGCAAAATGAAATTTCACCTGTATCTCTCACCCTGCACAAAAATTAACTCAAAGTGAATCAAGGACTTAGGCATTAGAACAGAGACCTTGTGCCTAACAGAAGAAAAAGTAGGCCCAATCTCCACCATGTCAGCTTAGAAAATGACTT